AAGGACATTTTCTGATTCCCCTCCCAAATACCATGCCCCCCCTCCCCGTTTCAATGGCAGCCGAAGCAGTAGCAAAGCAGAGGCTGACACCAACCAGCACATCAAAATCATTTATTCCTATTCCTTCCATTAAGATTTTCCAAAATTAAACCAGGTTATCAGAAAATGTCCTTAATTTATGTACTTCTTTTTTTCACATCAGCTGTTTTCTCATCATGTCCCTTGTCTATGTTCAAAACTTTAAGGGCCACAATGGATAACAGTGTGAAAGCAGGCATCCTTGTCTTGTTCCTTTTTTTAATTTCATGAGGTTTAGTCAATTCCTGTTAATTATAGTTTGTGCCCTTTTAAGTACTTACTGATTTCACCAGTAGAGTAATTTCCCCAAATCCATATGGTCAAAGGTCAATTTAGCCATCTCATCAAGTTCACCAGTCTTTATACTTGTTTACTTTTAATTTTTATTTTTTTAAAAATTAAACAAATCTGCAGATAATAGTAAATTGGGTGCAATGTGTAATACCCTAAAAGACAGAAATGCAATTCAAAGACTACTGACTGGTTGAAAAAGTAGAATGAATAATATACATAAGCAATGTGGTCTGACTCAAAGAAGACAAATGCAAGTTGAGGTACTTGAAGTATAGTACCCAACTTATGGGAAGGCTAGTTCTTTTTTATTATGCTATCAAAATTTACTATAACTGCTTTGCTTATTTTAAACCTTAATGTTTTTCAACTTGCCAATTTGAACTGGAGGGTGGGAAAGGGGAATTAGAATGCTGGGAATGTGTGCATGGATCATGAGAGTCTGGCAACCATCAAGGTCACCATTGTAGGTGCTTGAGAAAGAGATGGACTGTTCCCATAACAAAGGGATGTCTCATAATTGGACAATGTGATCATCCAAGGGTGGGGAGAAAAGGAAGCTATTGTTTAACTAGGCAAGCATTTGTGCGGGAAAACCAGAGCTAGTTTTGATTCTTCCAAAATGTTATATCCAATAATGTTTTACTTTTGAGAATGTAAAGCTCCCAAGAGTGTTTCTTTATTTTGGGTTCACTAGGCAGACAGTTGACATATGCATTGTGAGGACTCCATATTGACTATTGTGGCCTATTCTGCATAACTTAAAGGACTAGAGAAACTAGAATAAAGAACAGCAATGGGTTCCATAGGATTAGAAACAGAATCCTGTGAAGGAATTAAATGAATTGTATATATTTGGCCTTAGTAAAACATCTATGTTAGCTTAAGTATCTCAAGAGATCTTACATAGATAGTAAATAGCTATTCTCCATCCTCCCAGAATGGCAAGAGCAGTCTATATGTTAAAAGTTGGGCAAACATACATATGCTTGGTTCTTTGTCAGTAGGGTAAAAATAATTTGAGCACTTTAAAATTTCTGTTTTTATCCATCTAGGGTATCTTTAACCAGTTCCAGTGCAGCAATGACAAAGTGTTACCTTCTGATGCTCTTCGTAGTGCTCTTGCAAAGACCTTTCAAGATGAGCAGCGTTTCCAGCTGGGCATTATGGATGATGCTGCAGAATGCTTTGTGAGTATAAAAGTGGTAGAAAACTGATGAATCCTAAAAAACAACTGTGCATTTTGCTAAATTAGTAAAAGCTATAGTGTTTGAGGAAGCAACAGTGAAGCTCCTCCCCCCAAAAACCAAACTTTTTTTTTTTTACTAATCATATTGGTATATTTTCCTTGTTCTCTTTTTCTTTGTTTTCTTTTTCCTTGGTTATTTTATTGTTCCATTTTACTTTCATTTTGTTTAATCTTCCTTTTATTTTTTTGGAATTTTTTGGGTTGTGAGCTGCCTAGAGAAGCGCCATGGCGAGATAAGCAGCAAGCAACAAATAACAATAACACACACACACACACACACACACCAGTGAGGCACTACCTTGATGTGATTGTGGGCTTGTGTGCTCTGAGGAAGATGAGAGCTATACCAGAGATTCAGCCATACTAGATGTTCTTATCAAAGGAGTCAGACAAAGAGTGTTTCTTCCATAAAAAAATATGGTGAGACGTAAATTACAGAAATCTATAACCAGCTTGGTTGCCCAGATTAACAAGGATTAAACTAGATGTTGGAGTTCCTGGACATCTGATGAAAAATAGGCCTCAGGACTGTTGGTTGAGCAACCAGAGCCAACAGCTGCAGAACTAAGAAAATACGTTTTCCCATCACAAATACACAGTGATTGAAAACTAAGAAATAATGATCTGTTATTACAAGAAGAGGATATTTCAAACAAATGCACCAGTTCTGGAAAGAACAATATCCAGAATCAGAAATAACAAAATGGAGGCTAGCAGATCAACATTGATTTATAATACAAAATAAATTTTTCACAGAAACAGGGTTGGAAGAACTGCAAAGGTCTACCCAGGGCAGAGAAATCAAAGCCTTGCCGGAAGTAACTCAGACTGCAGAGACAAACCAGGGGCAGTTGGAGTAGAGGAACGCGGTAGAGATATAGAATTATTTTCATTTGAAAATAATTGGCATTCTCTGCCTCCTCATTGAGGTTCTCTGCCTCAGAAAGTACAAAGCCCTCTAACTAAAGAAGTGGAAGAACTGAAACAAAAAATAGCTGAGTATCTAGAACAGCACAAAAACATCACAATAAGGCTGCTTGCTTTGAAGCTTTGTCCAAAGAAAAAGCAAGCATAAACATTAACAGATGCAAACACTGAAATATCAAATACAAGGACAACATCACTGCAAGAAACAGTCCAACTAATGTACAACACAGCTGCAGTATAGGGGAATATCTGGGTTGAAAACCAAACAATGAACCACCAAAATAGAAGATCAGACTGGAAAATGAGATTGGCAAGCTGAAATCTGATGCAAGCAAACTACAACAGAGGAAAGAAAGAAGCTGATGATAGACTACCTGTGCTGCAAAAGAGAAGATGGCAAGGAAGTAACAGGCAGTAGAGAGAAAACAGAGCTGCTTAATTCACTCTCTGTATCATTCTTCACACAAAAAGAAACTGTAACCCAACCTACCAAAAACATAACTGTAGAAGAAGGACTTTTAATAAAAATTAAAATAAGCAAGAAAATGGTAAGAGAATACCCCTCTGATCTTGATAAATATAAATCGCCTGCCAGATTACATCCCAGAGTTCTGAAGGAGCTGGCAGACGTTATCTCAGAACCATTGTATCATATCTTTCAAAAATTCTGGAGCACCGAGGAACTATCCAAGGATTGGAAATAAGCTTGTGGTTTCCATCTTCAAAAAACGAAAAGAAAAAAAGAAACAGACCCGGGAAACTATAGACCGGGGGTGTTAAACTCAAGGAAGGAAATAGCAAAGGATCGGCCCATTGTGCCTCTGGCAGCCAAACCTGTTTGGCAGCCAAAGCTGTTTTCAGCCTAGACGGCTTCCTGTAGCACTTTGCTGGCCAAAACAGGGCCCGTTTTGGCCTGCAGGTTGCTGCAGAAGGCATATGACCCTTCTCCGTCCCTTCCCCAGCCGGCCCGCGGAAGAGAAATACAATGCTGATCCGGCCCTCAAAGAAATCCAGTTTGACACCCCTGATATAGACCAATCAGCCTAATATCAATACCTGGGAAGATGTTGGAAAAGATAATCAAAAAACAGATCTGCGAACATCAAGAAACAAATGAAGTTTGAGAAGTACTAGAAGTTAATATGGATTGTTAAAAACAGATAATGCCAAACCAATCTTATTTCATTCTTTGATAAAGTGACTAAATTAGTAGACCAGTGAAATGCTATGGATATAACATACAGTAGTGGCCCAAATTGTGGAAACCTTTTGGGAAAAGTGTATTTTTGAGGTTTCATGGCTAATAACACCACTTTTTGGGGAGTAGTATCATAAAATTATATTTCAATGGAAAGATAATTTAATCAAGAATGTAATGCAACAAAGTTTGTTCTATTATCTGTATTCTATGAAAAGTTATATCGAAATAACCAGAAAAAGGAAGCACAACTTGCTTAGGTTGATATCAGGTTGCTTTCCTTCATTTCCTTCACATTATAACAGCTGCAGAACTAAAAGGTTTGGTTCACTCCATGGAAAGACATTGTAAGGTTGTAATTCATGATAAAGGTTACCCAGCTAAGTATTAACTGACATGGTGATAATTTTTGTATATCTCATTTTTTATATGTGTCATTTTTCTACTTTATAACTGCTATTCTAATAGCAAATCCTTGATAAAAGTTAATGCATTATATTCTTGATTTCCACAATTTTGGCCACTACTATACTTATATTTCAGTAATTTGACAAAGTAAACCACAGCTTACTTCTTAGTAAACTAGAAAAATGTGGGATTGACAGCGTCACTACCAGATGGATATGTAAGTGGCTGACAAACTGTACTCAACAAGTAGTCCTAACCAGATGGATTTGTAAGTGGCTGACAAACTGTACTCAACAAGTAGTCCTAACCAGATGGATTTGTAAGTGGCTGACAAGCTGTACTCAACAAGTAGTCCTTAACGGTACTACATCTACATGGAGGGAAGTAAGAAGTGGGGTACCACAAGGTTCCATCTTAGGCCTAGTACTTAGTATCTTCATAAATGACTTGGGCGAGGGAATAGAAGGGGAACTCATCAAATTTGCAGATGACACCAAGCTAGGAAGAATTGCCATCATCCCACAAGACAAGCTCAGGATCCAAACTTGAACACTGGGCTCTATCCAATTAATGTGGAGAAAAGCAAGGTTTTACACTTAGACAGGTACAAGTACAGAATAGGCAAAACCTGGCTCAAAAGGAGTAACTGTGAGAGGGACTTGGACGATCACTTAAATATGAGCCAGCAGTGTGCGGCAGCAGCCAAAAAACCTAATATAATATTTGGTTACGTAAACATAGGCATAGAATCAAAATCCTGTGAAATATTAGTACTGCTTTATAAAACCTTAATAAGACCATTCCTGGAATACTGCATCCAGTTTTTGTCACGACATTACAAAAATGATGTTGAGACTTGGGAAAAAGTGCAGAGAAGAACAACTAGGATGATTAAAGGCCTGGAGACTAAAACATGAAGAATGGTTGTAGGAACTGGGTATGGCTAGTCTAGAGAAAAGAAGGACTAGGGATGACTTGATAGCAGTGTTCCAGGATCTGAGGGGCTGACACAAAGAAGAGGTACTTTTCAAAAGCACCAAAAGGCAATACAAAAAGCCAATGGATGGAACTAATCAAGGAGGGAAGCAACCTGGAATTAAGAAGAAACTTCCTAACAGTAAGAAAAATTAACTAGTGGAACAACTTGCCTTCATTACTGGAAATGTTTAAGAAAAGATTGGATAGCCACTTGTCTCAAATTTTATAGGGACTCCTGCTTGAGCAGGGTGTTGGACTAGGTTCTAGAAGACCTCCAAAATACCTTCCAGCTCTATTCTGATTGATTTGATTATCTCTCATATTTTGAGTTTTTTTTATCACTTTATAATATGAGTCTATACTTGCAGACAGGTAGTTCTGAACAATTAGTAGTTATGACCAGTCCTCAAGGTTCTGGCTGTCCAGGACCCATGTAGTCACATTATTATGATCTAAGTGCTTGACAACTGGCTTGCACTTACAACCAGTTGCAATACTCCACAATCATATGATCCCCATATGCAACCTTGTGTGCCAGTTTTCCCTGAAAGTCAGTGGGAAGCCTTCAGGAAAGGTCACAAGTAATTACTACAACTCTCACCCAGCATGTACCCTCCTCAAATTTATTTATGCTTCCCTCGCATAACCCCATACACCAATTCACACCCTTCTGAATCTTCCCTGTATTTCCCTCACATTCTCAAACACTCTTCTTGAGTTTCATTGTGCCTCCCACATATACCCATGTACCCCATTGCTCCTCTGCATGCCCTCTTTGTATCTTGCCACATCTCCCGCACCCACTTGTGCATTCCCTCACTCTCCTGGGCACCATCCCTGAGCCTTGCCAGTGCTTCCTTGCACCCTCTTGTGCCCCTTGCCACTTGCCAGCCACTAACCTTCCTGCTTGCAAGCCACCTGGGACTTGCAACTTGGTTGCAAGAGTAATTGGGTAGTGGGAAGCTAGTGGGATGTTGCCTTGCCTGACTGGGATTTGGTTAACAATGGCAAGAGGGACACTTGATGATTACATCACTTAGCGAAAGAAATCCAGTCGCAATTGATGAGGACTATCTGTATTAAAAGAAAATGTCAGGGAACAAATACTACAAAATAGGTTGTGAAAATACTTTTCATAATTCCCTAGGAAGACTGTTTCCAATACTGTATTCCCTTATTACAAATATGATTATTGTGCTCTTAAAATGTCAAAACAAAGCCATTATTTTGTTTAATTTCAATGTCCTTAATTGTATATTATTCCCAGGGTCAGTAAATGTCAAGATAGTGTTTTAAGAGCTGACCAGCTGCTACAATAATGCAATGATGCACTGCCGTAATGATGGGAATGAGTCAGCAAGGTTTTCTGGCTATTACCCCTTTAGGAGCCTGTATAATAATAAGATGTCCTGTTAGGATGTCTCTCCCCCACCCATGTGTTCTTCCCTGCTGTAAAATTACCCACAGTAAATGCTGATTGTTTGACTTCTGCCTATAGTACATGTATGCATAGTAAATATTCTTTTGTAGATAAAACCACTATTTCCTACAATAGGTAATAGTTTTATTGTTATTGCTCCTGGGTTGTCTTATGTAATAAAACTGTGCGCACTCTGCCAGTAAAGCAACTTGAAGTCTTCAGCAATTGATGTATAATTTGACTATTTAGTTAAAACATTATATATATGCCAAACCTAATGAAATGTTAAAGCTTGACATAATGAATAATAAATATTTTATTCTACTTTCGTAGAAAGTTAATAAGTGTCATATATCTACTATATGAGCTGGTGTCAAAAACTGTCACTTCTAGTTTTTAAATGAATTTTATAATGTTTAGAAGCAAATTTCATACAACTCTAAATGATAAATTTCAATTATTTTAAATATTAACCCTCATTTTCTTTTCCTGTTTTCCTGGATGTAGGAGAACCTCTTAATGAGGATTCATTTCCACATTGCAGATGAATCTAAAGAAGATATCTGCACTGCCCCACATTGTATTTCACATCAGAAATTTGCAATGACCTTGTTCGAACAGGTAAAAAAAAAACAATTCCAAAAGTTATATTAATCCTGAAATGAAGAAATAGACTTGGAAATGAGCAAAATAATATTTTCTTCTGTTAATATCTAATCATCTATTTATTTGATTTAGTGTGTCTGTACCAGTTGTGGTGCTACTTCTGACCCATTGCCCTTCATCCAGATGGTGCATTATATTTCAACTACTTCACTCTGGTGAGTCTCAAACTTTTTGCACAAAAAAAAAAGTAAACCAGACAGGACATGCAAACAGATTAGCTAATTCTCCTTTATTGTAAGGCTACATTAACATAATCTTGTACAACTTTCCTGCTGTTTCATTTATAGCCTGAGAATTTATGAGTATGTTATTTCCCTGGAGCAGAAATCAAAGATTTTACTGAGAACCTTTCACAATAACCCCACAGATTACTACCCCTTTCTTCTCCTACACCAATGACACAATAATGAATCTAAAAACAATAATGAGATTATGAACAGCTAGGGAAGAAAGTTAAAGAATTAGGAGCACAAATGGAGGTTTCATCTATACGTCCAACAAAAGGCCAATATCCAATGAGGGAGCAAAGGATTTAGAAACGAACCATTGGTGTCGTTTCTAAATGCTAAACTGGTGTCGTCAAGAGAACTTTGGTTTCCTAGACCATAATCTGCATTGCCTACATGAAGGGCTACTGGCAAGGAATGGAGTGAACCTCACAAGAATTGGAAATAATATATTTGGAAAATGACTGGCTCATTTTAGGGCTTTAAACTAAAATTGAGGGAGGATGGAGGTAATCTTCAAAACCTTTAGAACCTAATTCCAAGCAAAAACCACTAGATAACTAATCATATAGCGTTAGGAGTAAATAGAAGAAGAAAAAAAGGAAAAACACAATGAAGTAGGGAATGATGGGAAGGATGAAAAACCCATTTACAAAGTAGGAAATATAACAAATATACCCAAAAATATAAGACATAGTCCTCGACTTATGACCTAAATTGAGCCCAAAATGTCTGTTGTTAAATGAGACATCTTTTAAGTGAATTTTGCTCCATTTTACGATCTTACGGTTGTTAAGAGAATCTAGCTTCCCCGTTGGCTTTGTTTCTCAGAAGTTTGCAAAAGGGAATCACATGACCCTGGGATGCTGCAATGGTCATAAGTATGAATCAATCACCAGACATCTGAATTTTGATCATGTGACCATGGGGATGCTGCAAAGGATGTAATTGTGAAAAACGGACATAAGTCACTTTTTTCAATTCCATTGTAACTTTGAATGGTCACTAAATGAACTGTTGTAAATTGGCTATCTGTGCATCTCAGACCCACAAAAAACTTAAATGCCTATACACAAATGCTCAAAAGTTAGGGAACAAGCAGGGTGAACTTGGAGTACAAGTACATGAAGGTAAATATAGTATAGTTGCCATTACTGAAACGGTGGGATGAAACTCATGACTACAATGGACTGATGTAAGGATACAAACTATTCAAAAGGAATAGATCTAATAAAAGAGGAGCTGGAGTTGCATTATACATAAAAGTTCACTACATCTCTATAGAAATCCACAAAACCAAGGATGAAAACCTCCTAGAATGCATATTGGTCAATATGAAAGGAAAAAAGAATGAATTGTTATAGGAGTATATTACAGACCACCCAATGAAGCAGAAGAAATAGATGAATGTTTTGCTAAACAACGAACATGTGTGTAGAAAACATACCACAGTAGTAATGGAAGACTTTAACTGCCTTGATATCAACTGGAAGATAAACTCGGCAGCTAGTGGGAGATCAAACAGATTCTTTAACAACCTAGCTGACAATTTTGTCATCCAAAAAATAGAACTATAGGAAAAGCTATACCGAATCTAATTCTTACGAATAGAGAAGAAGTGATAGAGAGAGTTAAACTTTGGGCGAGAGTGACCATGTCATATTGGAATTCCCTATAATGCAAATACAATCAATAGAACATAATCCAGCCAGTGTCTTACATTTTAAAAGAGCTGCTTTTAACAAACTCAGAGAAGAGCCTAAGAAAAATTTCATGGATGAAAATCTTAAAGGGAAAAACAACTCGAGAAGCATGGGGAACACTGAAAAATATGATCATAAAAGCCTAGTCGAACACAATACCACTAAAAAGAAAAACAAGAAATATAAGAAGAAAGCACGGCTGATAAACTAAAAGACAAAAAAGACAAGTACAAAATATGGAAAGAGGAACATACTATTTTTCGGAGTATAAGACGCATCTTAGTTTTTTGGGAGGAAAATAGGAAGGGGGGGGAGTTCTACCTACCAGGTATTCGTTTTTATTCCCATAACACCAGAAAAACAAGCAAACACAATAGTATAATAAAATGACACTTTTTGCCACTTTTTGTCTTTCCCCAGGTGGCCGGGAAAACTCTTAATAAGCTTAACTAGATGTCTGGGCACTCAGCCAAAAGCACTTCACACCTGTAAAAATGTAACAAAGCTCAATCAACAAACCAGCCCAACACTTGCCTGAAGGAATCCATCGATAGGAATAATCCCTTCCTTGCCTTTAAATTAAAGGGATTATCTCCCCAAAAATAGAAATCACTAGTCACAGGAACTCTTTGCCTTGCCCTTGAGAGGATTATCTCCCCAAAATAGAAACTGGACAAAAGAAGTACCTCTTAAGGCAGTCTTTAAATCTTTAGTTTCTCCCAGCTGGAACGAACCGGAAAATTAGTATGCTGCAGTAAAAATATTCAAAGATGTTTTTTCAGCCCTAATGAGTTGCTAACGAGTGAAGTGATCTTCCAATTCCATACTTTGCCTGAACCGCTTCACTCATTAGCACCTCATTAGGGCTAGAAAAAAGCTTCCAAAAAGATACATTCGGAGTATAAGATGCACCCAATTTTTCAGCCTCTTTTCAGTCTTATACTCTCAGAAAAATATGGTAACTAAGGCAGAATATTAGCAGTTAGCCCGAATCTGCAGATGAAGTCAGGAAACAAAGGCTCAGAATGAACAAAGACTTGCAACAAAAGTCAAAGATGCCAACTTGACGAAATCAAAGGCTGTGCATTCATCGTAGATAATACATCACAAATTTCAGCTCACAATTGAAAAGCCAACATAATGACCAGGAGATATGTCAGACATTAAAGTTCAATTTGCACTCCAATCTTGATTGATTGAGGCATAGATTTTATTTAGGTGCGCATTTGTTGAACCTGTAAAATGAAATGCTGTTCTTTCACAACAGATCTCAAGAAGCAGCAACAGGTTTAGATATTGTTTATAAAGAAATATTTTTTTTCTTGTTTTATACTTTTAAAACATTTAAAGCAATCAGGCCATTTGCATGCTGGAAAGACGAGACAAACCGACACCTGATATGTTTGGAGAGCTGCTACAAAATGCCAGCACAATGGGAGACATGAGAAACTGTCCGGTTTGTATACATCATTTATATTTAGTAGAAGAAATAGCCCGAATGGGGGTGGGGGAGTATGCACTGAAAGCTGCTGTCAGGGTTCCTGAAAACCGCAACTCCAATGAAACTCCAAGACAGGAATTTTCTCAAAGCTCCCATTTATTAGAGTAGGCACATCTGGGAAAACCTGAATCTGAGAGTTTCGGATTTTCCCTCAGTAAATCAAAAGTCCAAACTCATCCCATCCACTCCTCAGTCCATCACACGGTCCAATACCAAACCATCCCAACTCGAGTACATCCCTCCAACCAGTCCTTCTCCAGATGCATGAATACCCTGACCTTGACCATAAAGAAGAATGCTATTTTATTTAGCTACCCACTTCTACCAAATCCTCCCTCCTGCTTTCCCAGGCCAAGAATGTGGCAGCACGGAAGCATCTGTGTTAATATGCCTTCCAAAGCTGACAGTTGCTTTTGAGTTGAGAGGTTTTTAGTATGCAATTTGTCAGTACAGGTAATTTGCAAGTTACTCCCACAATGGAGTTCGAAATTTATGTTGTTAAGAGAGTTTGCCCCATTTTATAACTTTTCTCGCCACAGTTGTTAAGTGAATCATTGCATTTGTTAAGTTAGTGTTGTTAAGTGAAGCTGGCTTTTCCATTGACTTTGCTTGTCAGAAAGTCACAAAAGGGGATCATATGACCCTGGGACACTGCAACCATCATAAATATGAGTCAGTTGCCAAGAGTCTGAATTTGATAACGTGACCATGGGGATGCTGCAATGGTCGTAAGTGTGAAAAATGCTCATAATAAGTCAAATGCTTTTTTCATGAACTGACTGAACTAAATGAACTGTTGTAAGTTGAGGACTACCTATACAGGTAGTCATTGACTTAGAACCACAGTTGGGACAAGAATTTCCATTGCTAAGCAAGATGGGTGTTAAGTGAGATACCCAATTTTACAATTACAGTTGTTAAGCAAATCATTGTAGTTGTTAAGAGAATCACTGACCTGTGCTAAAGTGACTGATCATGTGACAGAGTCGGTGCTGGGATGATCGTGAGGGTTGGTTTTAAGTCACTTTTTCCAATGACATTGTAACTTAGAACAGTCATTAAACAAATGGTTGTTAGTCAAGGACTATGTCAGGGGTGGGTTCCTGCCAGTTCTAACCTCTTCTATAGAAGAGGTTCCACAAATCTACAGTGCCAACCGGTTCCAGCTCCCTCCCAACACCCGTCCACACATCATCAAGATGAAGAGCGAGAGGAGGAATTCTGGGAGTTGAAGTCCACAAGTCTTAAAGCTGTCAGGTTTGAACACCCCTGGGGTTTTTTTCTATAAAGGGTTAGGGGTGCAAGGGTCTTGTAACTTGACAGCTTTAAGACTTGCACACTTCAATGCCAGAGTTCCTGAGCCAACATTTTGGTTGCTAAGCAAGAGCATTGTTAAGTGAGTTTCACCACATTTTACAAGTTGGCCATGCCCACCCAGTCACATGGCTGGCAAGCCACTCCCACCTGGTCACATGGCTGGCAAGCCACTCCCACAAAGCAGGCCACACCTACAGAAGAGGTTCTAAAAATTTTGAGACCCACCACTGGACTACATGTATACTAAATAGATTTATCATTATATATTACTCTGAAGATTGAATTCACCCTGAAAATCCTTAGTCCAATTAAAAGAACATTTTTTTTAGAAAGTGGTGCATTCTCTGACTTTTAAATGTATTGCAATCTCTTTCAATCTCTTTGTGCTGGAACAGCAGCTACAAAATGTTGCAGCTAGGCCAGGTTGAGATAGCTATTCAGAGAGGGTAGGACAAAGTCCCACTGCCCTTGACATGCAGATGGATCAGTGTGCAGAAAGTATAAGGAGAGCAAGTTAACCTTTTAGGTATTTTCTTTTTGATGCAATCATGGAATTACACAATAGGCAGTTCAACAGAGCTGGAAACCAACCAGAACCAAGCCAAAATGGGTAAAACTAAGTGATATTTATAAAAGTACTACAAATATTTCACTTCTATAGAGTAAATTACATAATGAAAACATACAAACTGATTAACTAAAACTTAGCTTAACTGTAATATGCATATGCTCTTAAAAAGTCTTTAATTCAAAATTATCCTTTCCCTTACCATCGTTCTCTTTTAAATATTTTAATGAGGGGGTCTTTGATGCTCTCTGAACTTGTTGTTTTCTTACAGATATTTCATTACTAGCCAGTACTGATGATGTTACCTAGTTTGGATAATGAAACATCTACAAAAAACAACCAAGCTCAGATAATACCAACTCTGAGTTACAAATATTCTTCTTTGTTAGAAACAGTTTAATACATGCACAATATTCCTTTTAACATTTAGTTACATTTGAAAATTTGTAATATATTTTATTTTTTGTTAAATTTATTTGATAAAAGATATAGTTGACTTGAAATAAAATAAAATAAAGTACTACAATAGACTTTTATTACCTATCACACAATTAAATAAGGATTGCTGACTGCAGTGTTACAGATAAAGCAACAGGATGGATTTATATTTAGGAAAATGTGATAGTACTTACTATCATTCATTTGGTTTTCAGCCCCTATGTGTCATCACGATATAAATCTATCTTGCTGTAGGGCTATTTTAAGCGGGTTCCTCCTGTTTATACTCTAGGTCTGTGGTGGCAAACCTATGGCACACGTGCCACAGTTGGCACGCAGAGCCCTCTTTGTGGGCGCGCATGCTGTTGCCCCAGTATAGACGAAACACTGCCAGACATGCAGCAAAACAAGCAATGAGCAGAACAGGGCTCTGATTAGTGGATGCAGTTTTGTTTCATGCCCCATGCCTTTTTTATTGTTGCTAAACATAATATTTCAAAAGCGAAAAAAAATGAAGGGGCATAAAAGTGCATTTATCACGTTCTTCTTAGAACAACTAACAACTTGCTTATCATTATTTTAGATAGTAAAACCTCATTATTCAGGTTGAATTTGTGATAAATAAATGAGTTTTGGGTTGCAGTTTGGGCACTCAATCTCTAAAAGGTTCACCATCGCTGCTCTAGGTAGTATACTCCTGCTTCTTCCACTATACAAATCAGTTGCATTGTCAGAAGTTTTTGTCTGAAACCAAGATACGTCATTATCAGGAGATGAAGGCATATAATACTAAAAAAGGAATGTTTAAAACCATCAGGAATTAAATACATTGGGTTTCTTTTCAGAGCAATTGTGGAGAAAAAATTCGGATACGCCGAGTATTGATGAACTCCCCACAGATCATCACCATTGGACTGGTCTGGGACTCGGATCACTCCGATTTGGCGGAGGATGTCATTCATAGCCTGGGCACTTGCCTTAAACTGGGTGATGTGAGTCTTAAATCTTACGGCAATATGTACATTCTTGTTTGACTGTGCTACTGTCTTTCATCTATACGTGCACGTCCATGTTTGTGTGTTCTGGATTTATTTCCAACATTTTTCCTTCAGCTTACATAGTTAGTTTTCAATAAGTAAATTTAAGTTTTAGAGAAATGCAAGAATTGTACTGAGATTATTCTTCCCTCCCTGAAGCTGTTCTTCAGAGTAACTGACGACAGAGCAAAACAATGTGAATTGTATTTGGTTGGAATGATCTGCTACTATGGAAAACATTACTCCACCTTTTTCTTTCAAACAAAGATTCGTATGTGGATGTATTTTGATGATGCACATGTTAAAGAGGTAAGAAATTTAGAGAGAAAAGAATAAAATGTTTGGCTAGACACCATGTAAATCTATCTGGATTGTTTTTAGATGAGTTGATAAACTTCCAATTATTTGCAGGCAGTTTATGGTGAAACATTCCAGATAGGTTGCATCCACTGTTTCTAAAATATCAAAATGACACAAACACATTATTTAAGAGAGTAGGGCAGGATATATGTTGTCTGCTATGTTTCATTCTGTCATGAATTGTTACAGAAAGATAAAACAAAATAACATAGGATCCAGTATAATGCAATGATGGTAAGACAGAAACTTTTCAACTCTTCTTGGGAGAAGAAGCGAATATCATAGATCAGGTGTGTCTAGCCCATGAGCTGCGTGTGTTCCTGGACAGTTCCTAATGTGGTCCCACAAGATCATAAACTTGTTAACATTATTACATTGTTTATGTGCCATATTTTTCGGACTATAAGACTCACTTCCCCCCCTCAAAAAAAGTGGGTGAAAATGTCTGTGCGTCTTATATATCCCAACACACACACATCTGCATCCCGTTTCATCAAAAACAGCCCCATTTTTGGCAAAAATGGGATGTGTGAAAGGTTTGGAAGGCCTACAGAGTGTTCCTGGGGATGGGAGAGGGCAAAAATGGGATGCACAGAGGATTTGGGAGGCCTGCAGACTGCTCCTGGAGGCTGAGAAGGGCAAAAACCGGATGCGTGGAGGCCAGAAACTATTTTTTTTCTTGTTTCCTCTTCAAAATCTTATATTCTGGTGCGTTTTATAGTTCACAAAATACGGTATATTTTATGTTTTATACGCAGCCCAAGACAGTTCGTCTTCACTCAGCACAATCCAGGCAAGCCAAAAAGTTGGATACCTGTGTCATAAATAAGTAGTCTTTTATTTGCTCTTCACTTATTTTAACCTGGATGCTTTCTATAGAGTTAACTTTTAGATAACAGGGTCTTTTATCATGACCCTGGGAATACTGTGATTTGGGGGGGATAGTGGTGGTGGGTGTGTGTGTGTGTGTGTGTGTGTGTGTGTGTGTGTGTGTGTGTGTGTGTGTGTGTGTGTGTGTGTGTGTGTGTGTGTGTGTGTGTACATATACTTATACATAAAAGGTAAAGGTTCCCCTCGCACATATGTGCTAGTCATTTAGGAAATGGATGTGATTCCTGCCTTAGTTCTTAGTAAGAGAAAAGGGTTTTCTTATTCATTTCGTTTTCAGCCCCTATGTATCACCACAGTATAAATGATTAGTTAATTAATTTTGGGGCCATTGAGTCATAATGAAGTACTTGTGCACTTAATTTTAGTACTAGCTTATAGCTCTGTCAGGGAGAATTCTGTACTTTATTTTATTCTGTATAATTTATCTTTATCTTTGCCTGCTATTTCCCATAATGTTTTTATCCATCAGGTGTGCATTGTAGATAGGTTTCTGCTTACTGAATAGCACCTCTGGAGCAGTCACTCCTTTGTTACAACACACAAACTTAATATTTTTTTCCTCAAATCTATAGGTCACCTAGTAATCATCTCCAGATCCATAATTCAAAAGTGTTTCTTGTTCTTCTCTCATTTTTTTCAAGAGCTAGGTTTCATAGCCATGTGTTACCACTGGAAAGAAAATTATATTAACTATTTTATCTTCGTTATAATAGATGCATCCTTTCTTTTCATGATCTTGTCAAATCTGCATTGTCTTCTTCCATAGGAGAAATTTCAACTATGCTTTGTCCATATTTATCTATTTAATAGCATTAGAAAACAAATCTACTACCTTCCATTCTTCATTGTCACATGTGTTGTTCATGAAGAATTCTGGTTGAACAATACTTTTAGCGTCATAACATTTGACATTAACCCAGATTTTTTACTTTCATTTTTAGTGTCATTATGACCAGAGGTGGTATTCAGCTGGTTCGGACCGGTTCACCTGAATCGGTAGCAGAAATCGCAAAGCGATCAGGCATGCACTGGGCGAACCGGTCGTAACAAATGTGAAACTCACTGCTGATTATGACTACAGGTTGATGTTAATAAAGTGTCTGCAAAAACACATGAAGTGAATAAATGTATCTTTGGTTAGACATTTCAGAATTGATACATCATTTCCACATAAATTGTCCAGTACTCACGTCATCCAGAAAAAAATTGTCCGAAATATTTGTATATTTCTATTTGTTGAACATGATATAGCTCAATTCTGATCTATCCTTTCAATCTCTTATCAACTTTATGTTGGCAGGAGGTAAATCCCACCTTGAGGAAGATGGGCGCTCTATACACATAAAATGTAAATAAATACATACATACATAAAATAAATTGGAAGAGGCAAGAAACTGAAAAGAACTTTACAGAACTTTCAATAGATAACTAGATTAGGAAGTTATGAAAAATAAAAATTTACACACAAACAGCTGTGCTAAGAGGTTGAATACACACAAACAAACACACACAACAGCTGTTTATCATGTACTTTTGCTCTACAAATCACAATAGGATGAAATTAATTGCTGCTGCTTGTTTTCAGACAGAGGTCCTGGAAATTGAGTCTCTCTGTAAATGCTTTCTGTAGATGCTATGCTTTGTTTTGTAGTATGTTTTGTTATTATAAGTTCTTAATGGAATAATCTTAAAGAGCTTTTAGAAGTTCTTTATCTTAAACTAGTACTGGCCTTTAATGTAATATTTTGTTTGTATGTAATTAATATGTTATTTACAGCATAACAATTGTTTCCCATTGTCCGTTGGATTCTTGATCATCTATTTGTTAAGAGCAATGTCATCGTTGTACTTAATTGTATCAAAAATGACCCCTCATTACTTTTTAACATATTTTCAGATAGGTCCTAAATGGAAAGATGTTGTTACTAAGTGCATTAAGGGTCATTACCAACCCTTGCTACTACTTTATGCAGACCCAAGAGGAACTCCAGTATCAACCCAGAATCTCTCCACACAGGATTTACCACAGTATAGCAGAACCTATTATGATAGTGAAGATTCAGGTAATCTTTTGAAGTTCCTCATGTGTTTTTTATAGTAATCAAGATATATGATATCAATATTAATGGCATTGGCAATAAGTAAAGACTTGTGAACTATCTGATATCAGAAAAATGGCACAGAAAAATGGCTCTTTGCCTACCTAAAATATAGCAAATTATGCAAAAATAGCTTCATACATTGTACAGAAATTCAACTATTTTGGGTACCATATGTATTTTTGTACATACAGTGGAAAAATTATTAGAGGATTAAATATTATAAAGACCTTTATGCTTTATTTTTCATAAACCATAAATATATGGTGAAGGCTATTGAATTACCTGCTAAATATCTACTTTCACTGGAAGCTTTCAGGAAGAGACTGGACAGCCATCTGTCAGAAATGGTATAGGGCCAGGATGGCGAACCTATGGCACGCGTGTCCGGACATCCAGTTTGCTCATAGGGTCGGTTTAAGCCCTCCGGAGTAGGGTCATTTTTAGTCCTCCGGAGCCTTCAGGGAAGCCTCCTGAAGGTCCCTGAAGGCTCAGGAGGACTAAAAACGGCCCTACAAGCAAACCAGAAGTCACTTCTGGTTTGCTCGTAGGGTCGTTTTTTGCCCTCTGGAGGCTTCAGGGAACGCTCCTGAAGGTCCCTGAAGCCTCAGGAGGGGCTCTTGGGGGGGAGGCTGTTTTCGCCCTCCCCAGGCTCCTATAAAGCCTCTGGAGCCTGGGAGGGCGAAAAAAGCATGCAAAAAATGCGGGGAGCGCCTGTCATGCGTGCATGCACACTGTGGTGTTTGCGCATTGCATTATGGATGCATACGCTCGCACAAGACCCCCCCTGCGCTCCCCCCAGTTATGGTACGCGAGCCAAAAAAGGTTCGCCATCGCTGATATAGGATCTCTTGCTTGAGCAGGCAGTTGGACTAGATGACTGACAAGATCTCTTCCAACTCTGTTATTCTATGTTCTATGCAATCCTTATCTGTAATGTCTGGAGATGCAAGTCTCTTTACTTCAGTCCTTCCTTCCAGCTTTGGTCTCTAAGAGAAAGATGACGTCTCAGGGCAAATGCTGATTGTATGGATTTCTTATTTCTTCTGATAATCAGAATTGCTGGAAGTAATTCAGTATTGCTGGACAGGAAATAAATATTTTATAGTTTGACCCTTTTTCTCAAAATTACCTTCAGATAACTGGCACAGAGAATCTATCAGGTTATTTAATGTATGCATACAATAGGATGATGGAGATGGATTGCAAGATGTACACACACAAATACAACTTTTTAGTGCTCATTGAGCAACCTTTATTGTCTTAGAAATGTAAATAGAAATTAGGGTAAATGTATTTACCCTAATTATGTTAACATTTTTCTCATTTTCTCAATTCTAATGTTCACTATTTTTAATAGGACGTGAACCTTCTATCTCAAGTGACACTAGAACAGATTCTTCTACAGACAGCTATCTGCATAAACATTCCCATCATGAATCTATGGTCAGCCATTTTTCTTCTGATTCTCAAGGAACTATCATTTATAATGTGGAAAATGATATGGTTTCGCAAAGCAGCAGGGACACAGGTAAACGTTTTTAAATTTAAGGGTGAAAATCATAGAATTCATGAGTAATAAACTCACTGGGATGTTGGCACAAAACAAGCACTGAGAACATATTCTTCAACATTCATTGGCAAATATTTGATTGCTGCTTCAGTGATCTTTACTGTTGGCTGCAATGACTAAGGTTAATGGAAATTAAAGTTCAGAAATATCTGAAACTTCACATGTTGGTTTCAGTTAGTTGAAAAAAGAGAAAATACTGTTCAAATCTTGTTCTTTCAGTAAGAATTCTCTTCTGTTTATAGTGCTCATGTACCACCCAAAAAAAGTTTTTCTTTTTCTTTTCATCCTATTTAATTTAGTGTGATAGAAAGAGGCAAACAAAGCACAAAAGATTAAAGAGATATAGAAACTAACTCTGGCTTGTTTCTGTTTACATTATTTATTCATGAGGATTCCTATTCTTGCTCATTGTAGAATTCTTATAATCTCCCCACATCCCAAATGATTATTCCTCATTCTCTTAAAACAGGTAGCCTTGTTGCTGTCAGGGGGCTATATTTTTTTTTAATTTTTATTTTCATTTATCACTTGTCACTTGTATTTATTAAAGTATCTGTAAGTGTTGTAAACCTGTATCTAATGTTTAAAAAACATCCCTCATCTAAAATTGTCTTTATATTTTAATTATTGCAACTCAGTACACACAGGTACCATACTCCCTGTGAAAGTGGTAAATAGCATCCACTGACTTGCAGATATGAAAAAAACAAAACAAAATAAATAATTCAGTCAAAGAAACTCACATTTTTCAGGAACTCTGTATTTTTATGAGAGATGCTACACATCATTGGCAAATATTTAGGCTGAAATATTAGCTGAAATTACACACCAATGCCTTGTTGCTAGGTAAGTTTACCTACTTATCTTCTCCAATATGCCAGTTACTAAAAATTTGAAGTACAAATAGAAAAATTGTGCTAATATGAAATTCTCCTACCTGTATCAGGAATAGACCATCGTCTATTTGACCATCATCAAAGAAGAACAATAAAAATAAATACCGTATTTGTTGGAGTATAAGACGCACCAGATTATAAGACGCAACAAGGTTTTGAAGAGGCAATTTTTTTAAAAAAAGTAGGCAGGTAGGTAGAGGGATAGAGAGAGAGAGATAAAGAGAGAGAAATACAATAGGTAGGGAGGGAGAGAGAGTAGGTAGGTAGGTAGGTAGATAAAAGGATAGAGAGAGAAATAGAGAGAAAGAGAAATACAGTAGGTAGGGAGGGAGAGAGAGTGTGTAGGTAGGTAGGCAGGCAGATGGGGAGAGAGAGAAATACAGTAGATAGGTAGGGAGAGAGAGAGAGTAGGTAGGTAGAAAGAGGGAGAGAGAGAGAGGGAGAGAGAAATACAGTAGGTAGGGAGAGAGAGAGAGTAAGTAGATAGGTAGATGTTTCCAGGTGTATTTATCCATGTGCTGGAGAAGGAAATCGCTGACAATCTGCAGCACCTAAGACTTTGTTTCTGCTGGCACAGCACTTGATCAATATAATCAATCAGTTAAAGAGCTTTCCGAAAGTGGGGGGGAGTTTTTGCACTCTGCAAACCTCCCCAAAAC